TCTGGTAGCATAGTGGCTAAGGCACTTGACTGCTAACCAGAAGGCTAGCGGTTCAAACCCACCAGCCACTCCTCGGAAGGAAGGTTGGGCAACCTATTTCCGTAATGATACTGCCTCGGAAACCCAAGGAGGGGTCGCTATGAGTCGGGTCCAACTTGACGGCACATAACAACAACAACAAACAGCATAGTTCAGGGAAGCCCTGTGCATATGATCACCAGGGTTCAGCTGGCTTTGTTCTCTGCAGGAGCAGCTGAGGGGCCAGGCCCTGGCCAGGAGGGATGAGGTGGCGCAGACCCTCAGAAGCCAAGGTGGGCCTGGTCCTGGCCTTGGCTCTGGCTGCCTTCTCCTTCCTCTTCCTCTTGCGTCTGCCCATGTGGCCACCAGTCTGCCAGGTTCCAGAGGAGCCATCTGATATTCCCAAGGCCTTGGTGGACTGGCCCTCACTGGTTGCACGCTCACTGCCTGCCCCGTGCCAGGCGAACACCTCGGCCGCCACCCAGCCAGATTTTGCACAACAGCCGCAGCAGGTGCGCAACTTCCTGCTGTACAAACACTGCCGTGACTTCCTACTGCTGCAGGATGTGCCACCAGATAAGTGTGCGCAGCCCGTATTCCTGCTGCTGGTAATCAAGTCGTCGCCGGCCAACTACGAGCGGCGTGAGATGGTGCGCCGCACTTGGGGCCGTGAGCGCGAGGTTCATGGCGTTCATCTGCGCCGCCTCTTCCTGCTGGGGACCTCCCCCAATGCGCTCGAGGCCCGCAAGGTGAATCAGCTGCTGGCGCTGGAGGCGCGCGTGCACGGCGACATTCTGCAGTGGGACTTCCATGACTCCTTCTTCAACCTCACACTCAAGCAGGTGGGTGGACAGGCCCTGAGGTCACCTGACGGGACCACGTGTCCTTCCTGTTGAGATTGCCACCCTTTCCGGTTCCCATTACGCAGGGAGACTGGGAGGAAGGGATGGTCGGGGTGTGGGTATGAGCAGACATCTCGAAGCACTGCAACTTGCAGGGTATGGTAGTGAGGTTCAAAGCACAGATTTCAGAGCCAAGAAGCCAGTGGCGTCACCGGGGGTGGGCGTGGGGGTGCAGACCACACCGGGTGACACTGTCAGAGCAGGTGACACCAAGATGACTAAAAAAATTTGTGTGCAGTGTTTCAGCAGAAATTTATTATATGCATATACCTGTAGTTAGTTAAAAGGAGCTCTGGTAGCGTAGTGCTTAAGGCATCTGATAGCTAACCAGAAGGTTGGTGGTTCAAACCCACCAGCCAATCCACGGTAGGAAGACTGGGCAATCTACCTCCATAAAGATTTACCGCCTTGGAAACCCAATGGGGGTCCCTATGAGTTGGAATGGACTGGATGGCAGTGGTTTGGTTTGAGTTTTTTGGGTAGTTAGTTATAACAAATTTTTTTTTTTTTTTTTTTCTGCTAAGCCCAGCTTACACGTATCAATATACCTACAAGGGTAAAACTATGCACATTTGCTTTTTGAGCCTTCGAATGCACTTAGGTCAGTTGTTGTTGTTGTTATGTGCCGTCGAGTCGGCCCCG